TATATGTATACCTATATTCAAAGGATGGCAACACTCAACGTATTCTTGTTTTTCCTCTTTTCTCACATAGTTATTTGGAAATTCTTGTTCTTTTTATAAATGTTGTTATAATAATATTGCCTTAGCCTTGTAGTGATGATAGATTAGAATATAGAGGTATTTGTCCCAATGACCACACAGGTCCCACAATCCGCTAAAGCATTACACATTGTATCGCCGTAACTGCCGTGGTGGCTCGGAGGTTTAAGACGCCTGCTTCTCATGCATGAGGGTTCGAAACCTACCAACGGCAAGTACCAATGTGACTTTTTCCGAGTTATATGTACTTTCTAAGATTATTTAGACACCACAAACAAACGGTGAAGGAAAAACATCGTGAGGAAACCTGGACTTATAATTTCTAATTATAAGTTTGAAATCGCCAACCCGCATTGAGCGAGCGTGATGATTAATGCTCTAACCTTCTCCGTGTGAGAAGAGGCTTGGCTCAGCAGTGGGCATTTATAGGCTGGTGATGATGATTACACATTGTACAGACACTGGTCTGTAATGTTATCTGATATATCTGAGTCTTCTAAACTGTTATTTCATATATAGCAGCCATTCTTTAGGTCATTAAGGAGCACTAAGGTAGAGACCTATATTTTTATTTTTTTTAAGCCGGTAAACTATTGGACAGGTCACCCAATGGTAAGCAATTGGCGTCGCCCATAGACACTCGAAACACTAGAGGCTTTACCAATGCGTTACCTGCCTCTTGGGGATTAGAAATTTGAGAGTTGTTGGGGATTCGGGGATTGGGAAGATTGAGGAGGGCGATAATGGGGATGATGACAGGGTATGAAAATTAAAAATATAATTAGTCCGTAAGTTAGGTAATGAAAAAATATTAGACACGTATTTTTTTATTTTGTCGTATAATAAAACAATACTTAGATAAAACGAATCAAAGTTTAGGAGTGGGGGCTAAAACGTCATTCCTTAGTATAAAATGTACTGAGAAGTGACGTCACGCGACATTTCAAATCAATATATCTTCGAAACTATTCGTTTCTGTGAGAAAATAAAAAATACGTGTCTAATGTTTTTAAATAATCTATCAGACGGACATTAAAATAAAAATTAGTCGTCTACCCCATTGGGACTCCGGTAACCTTAGTCACACGACGAAACACAATGCAAGTTGTATTGTCGGTTTTCTGCTTGGCCGTGGTATCACTCCGGTCGAGGCGGCCCATTCATGCCGAAGCATGGCTCTCCCACACTTAACTCTCACTATGGCCAGCAGTATTCTCTTTGGCTGTTGATTATAAAGATCATTTCACGAACAAAGCAAGTACGTAAGGCTTTTTTTAGAGGGGAAAATCATCGAATGACTTTTCCCGCCTGGGTGAGGCGGGAGGCTGGGGTTCCTAGTTACCGAAAAGAGTAACGAATGGAGTTTCTTGCTCGTTCTTCTCCATTCGAATCTACATTTTGGAATGAGCACCTAGCTTCACCTAGCTTCACTGACGGACTGACTGACAGACTAATATTTATTTTGTATTTGTTGACGTTTCAAAAGGACCAAATTATGGTTTAATTGAAATAAATGCCTTGACTTGCCGTGCTTATAATACTGTCATTGAGCATTCAGCTGAAAGCCATTCAAAGAAGTCTATATCGGGCAAACTATTTAGTATTTCATTCCCTGAAGAGGTAGGCAGAATTATAGGTATTTACCTCTACATACAATACCCACTTTCCATCTCTTTACGGTCGTGTCTATCGCTGTACTTACGTCGGGTATAATTCCAGACTCCATGATTTTCAAATCAGATCTCTCGGGATTCGAACCCCAGATAATTTAGAGGTAAAAATAGAAAATAAAACGTCAATTTCCAACATATCAACTATATATTTATTTCATAATTTGCATACTATTATTATTATATTAAACTATAATTTATTACGATTATTCATTCATTTATTTATATATTACAGGATTTTATGTGAAAACGTAAATAATTACAAATAGGTATACATATCTACACTCGAAAACTACAAAGATCAAATCATTTTGGAATAAATACACATAATGTATAGTTTACAAGACTAATGAATAATGTTATTTCTACAGCCTAGACGAACGAGAAAATGTAAATTAAAATTGACATTTAAAAACTGTGATTTCATATTTAGCATCCATTCTTTAGGTCATTTAGGAGCACTAGGGAGAGGCCTATATTTTTTTATGAGATAAGCATGGACCCTCGAAACATCAGAGGCTTTTTATTTTTTTTTAAGGGGGGAAAATCATCGAATGACTGCTCCCGCCTGGGTGAGGCGGAAGGGAGTGTCAGAGTCTTACTGACTAAAAACCACCCCGTTCCTTCTCCTGCACGTTGAGCCGGAGCCACGGTTACCCGTTAGGTTCTCCGCGACAACATCAGAGGCTTTACTAATGCGTTATAGGCCTTTTGGGGATTATGGGGGATTCGGAGGATTTCGATTCGGATAATTGGGACTACGGTAACCTCACGCACACGACGAAACACAACGCAAGTTGTTTCACGTCGGTTTTCTGCTCGGCCGTGGTATCACAAATATACATTTAAAAAAAAGGTTACTTTATACATCGAAAGTGCTCCCCATGGTAAGTTGTTTTGCCGCGGGACATAAACGAAATATATTTCACGGTGTATTTAAGTGTGTATTTAATTTATTAAAAATGATTTGATTTTGTAGTATTTGAGTTTGAATTACAATTCAGAACAAAATTTGTAGGTCTGACAATCTGGTTCAAAATATTTTAATAATCTGGGTATTACATCTATATTTTGTAACTACAAATGAAGTCATGCGATATTTTAAATCAATGTGTTCTTGTAAACGTATGTAATTTTATATTTTCAATGAATCTTACCAAATGTTGAAATAAAATATATATGTATACAAAAAATATTAATGTTTTATGTTCTTATGTTATCGCGCAATTAAAAACTGCACGTTAAGCTATATGAATCACATTTAAACTAAACATAAAAACCTTAGTTTCATTCTAGTAGGTACCATAAATAATCTACTTATTTTGTTCAGAATTGTGCATAGAAAAACGTTCAAATATTGTATTTAATTCTATTCTTATTCTACTATTTATTATAAAGTATGGTCACACTATTAAGTTTAATTTTTCTTAGGGTCGATTTGTCAATCGTCATTTAATGGTTAGAAAAAACTAACTGTAGAATAAAATTGACAGTTGACAGTGTTTAGTATGGAAGAATTGTCAAATATACAAAGTCATTCCTCAGATAAAATTTATCTGAGCATTGACAAATTGGCCCTACAAATAAGAATTACCTGATGATTGAAAAAACTGTTTAAACACATAACATAAGTAAACGTCACCTTATATAATTCTTGAAGGTATAGGCACAAAATCATTTCTGCAGAAAATCATTTATCATTGTATATCAATACAATATAACATAGAATCGCCATTTTTTAAGTGTCACATATAAACATATAATAGGGGGCGAGTCATAACAAAACATAATTTATTTGATTTGACATACATACAACCATATCAATAAGTTTCGGAGCTGAATAGGTAATCAGTATAGTTGAATTTTTTTTATTCCACGACGGTGGCAAAAAAACATACAGCCCATCTGATAGTAAGTGGTTACCGTGGCATATGTACGCTTGCAATACTTGAACCATTACATGAGCCTTACCGACCCTTTAAAAACTTATTAGTGTGACCAAGTAATCTAAGATATATAATTACATTTATACACATAATACTGGCTATGTTAGTCGCTTAAAACAAATAATACTGTTTCGAAAGATGTCTCGTGTTAATAAAATAATTTAAACTGTCAAACACCAAGCGGTCACCGGTGACCGCGACCTATTGTTCTTTAATTGTGTCTATAAAACCGGTACTCGACGAGTTAAAATAAATGCTGACTGTTTTAACTTAACCCTTAATAAATTCGAAAACAATAATTATAGCTTTTTTAAACTAAATATTCAAACTATTGCTATCTCCTTTCTTGATATAACGAAAGAAAGAGACCGTTATAAAACTAAGCTTTACTTTTTTCTTAAGTAATTCTCTATATTAATATTAAGTACATACATTTGGCCTGCTTCAGTCCTTATAATAATTATATTAGGTATGTAATCTAATAGGATATAATATAACTATACATTCACAAACGTTTCGGTGTAATAAGTTTATTTTTGGAATTTGTGGTGACGATCTGTACTGTACACGACGGAATTCCGTAACCAACTGACTGAGTTGGATGTTTTTTGTCACTAGAGGCGCTATAGTGAAAGGTCCATTATAATCAATTTAATATTCGCTAATGTCATGTGATCTAATGGTGTTGTCGGTTAGGTTTCAGCAATTCATCTGATTAGGCTAGGACCAATCACGATCGTTTATTTGTGGTATGTGGTACATTTATTACTGTAGGGATACCTATAATATATCAAAAATGAAGAAATGGACTTTGGTAGTTCTTTACAAATAGGTAAGTGTATTACGTACTATCGACAAAGTTTCTTTTGGCTAACTCGTTATCCACCGCACCGGGCGTTTTCCCTGTGGTCACTTGCGATGAGTGCATTCGAATATCGTCTAATGGTGGTCGACCGCCAACTTTGTCGGTCGTACATACATATGACGTCATATAACCTCGAAAAATGTGTATTATTATTAGATTATTCAATACAATAATTATTATTTACATTATCACTATTATTTAACTATATTAATGTATAAATTTACACTATGCTTGACTAGGACAGGTTATCTAGCTTAGTTTTATTTAAATAGTATACGTTTTTGACAAATCTAAGTCCTTATTACGACAGCCTCAATTAAAAAAGTCTTAAAACTCAACTCATGAAATAAAAAATATTGTTATGCAACATAAAAATTAAATTATATAGTTATTTCATAAAAAAATCACGAATTAATAAAAACCGAAAAGATAATTTTACTCTCATACCACATACGGCCTAAACATGTCCATAGGTCTACCGCCATCTTGATTCATAACGACCAATCCGCGCCTATTTTCCAAATTCGAATTAAAATTCGCTGCAGCCATCGCCCTTTCTCTCTCTAGCGCGATAATTCTGTCCCTGTCTAACATAGGTTTGACAGCTGTCAAATCTCCCGCCATTGAAGGAGGTTTTTCTTGTTCATTTGGTATTTCTTTTGGTTTTTTCTCTTCAGTCTGTGGCGTATCTTTATTCTTAGAGTCCTGTTGCGCCTTTTTTGATCGTTTCCACTTCATTCTTCTGTTTTGGAACCAGATTTTTACCTGTGAGCAAAAAATATTTATTGTTATAGATAATGTGGTGTGGCTGACAATTTTATCTGAAGGGATAAGCAAGGCTGAAATACACTTTATTGTTCGTCAGTATTTTAAAACCCGTCGTATATAAACGATGCTAACTAATAGTGGATGGGTCCATTCATTGAATCAACAAAATTGATGTAGCAAAACCATTGAATTCATTTCAAAAATCAAAAGCTCTCCACAAAAAACGACAGAAATATCACAGAAAACCTCAAAGCAACCCCATAACTTCACCCCTCCCTTTATAACAACACATAACTACCTATATGAAACCCATATAAATACAGACAGGTGTAAATATCGTATAAATGTCTTAGACCCACCCTGGGGTGTGATATTAATCTTTAAACCTTCGTGAGCCGTAAAGCTTTACCCTTGTAATCTTAACATAGGTACATTTGTAAACGTAAATCCGCCATGATGACAGATGTTCGCGCCAAAACAAATGTCAAAATTGGGTTGTTTGTAGTGTCGTATTCGTGACGGCGAGTGGTTATATTTATTATGGTTTGTATGATGTGTCAATTTATTTGGTTTTAATTGATTTTTTTTTATTTGTTAGGTTTTCTAATTATAAGTTTGAAATTGCCAAACCTATTGAGCAAGCGTAGTGATTAATGCTAACCTTCTCCGAGGGAAAATAGATCCTTGGTCAGGAGTGGCCACTTACAGGCTGTTAATGTGTGTGTAAATTGTTTTTAAATTAATTAATTATAACTAAAATGACTGTGGCACTTTTTGTAATAGTTATGACAATCTTGTCAAATTTAAAATAAGTCTTAAAAATTCTATGTGTAATAGTAATTGGCGAATCTTTTAAAAGTTTTGGTGTGATAACCTTCATTGAATGCCTATTATAGCCAATCTTATACCTAGATACTCGAGCCGGCCCATTCGTGCCGAAACATGGCTCTCACACACTTAATAACTAAGTATTACATTTTGCTACTAAGTTCCTACAAAGTAATTATTATGTTTTCGGCTTACTCACGTAACTGTTTGACGAGAAACTCGACTAGTTTCAAGCCATGCTAGAGGCATGAGCAGCATTCCTTGACTGTCATGCTACCACTTTAATTAGTATGCCCCACGAAAGTTTTATAAACATACCTTCTAAGTCACAAAATCTGCTACTAAATAATAATAATATTTCCCAACCCCTATAAAACAGAATTTCGTATAATATTCCACACATCTCCTCACCTGAGTCTCCGTGAGCATCAAGCTGGTGGCTACTTCAAACCTCTTTGGTCTGGACAGGTACTTATTCATTCTGAACTGCTTCTCCAACTCCAGGAGTTGCTGTGACGTGAATGCTGTGCGTGGTCTTCTGGTCTTGCCAAGAAGAGCGTGAGGTGCACCTGTGGAAGAATTCGTGGTGGTTAGTCGTTGAAGAGTAATAGGGAAGAGTACAGAGCAAAGAGTTACAGAGAAGAGTTATACCAGATTGGGATTGTTACCAAAATGATTCATCTACAGCAACTGCCCGTGACAGTTTACTGGTGGAATCGGTAGAAGAATTGGAGATTGTAGACAGTAGATAGACTGCAGGGGTGCCCACTGAAAATCAGTGATGGGTGGTACACTGAGTGGTTAACCCATTTAGCATAGGTAGACATGTTGTAATAAATAATAAATAATAACATTTAATGCCACTGTATGCCTATTACATGGGACTCATAACATAAATAATAATGAAAAGTGGGTGTTATATTGTACAGTGGCATTAAGTGCCGTAATGTGCACCTCTGCCTACGTGATATTATGTTATGTTATGTAAATATAAAATCCTTACTAATATTATAAATCTAAAAGTGAGTTTGTTTGTTTGTTTGTTTGTTCCACCTTCACGCCGTAACTACTCAACCGATTGCTTTGAATTTTTGCAGACGTAAAGTCCGGATTAAATAATAGGGTACTTTTTATCCCAGAAAAAATTGATATTCCCGAGAAAAAACAAAAGTATTAGTATAGTGTGTGTATTGATATATGTCACATAGGCGCGGGTAAAAGCTAGTAAAAACATAAATGAAAATTACAATTTTAATAAAATGAGTCACCATAACGCTCTAATAAGTAAAATACGATAAATCTATACACATATGATTGTAATCTACGTTAACAGTGTAAACAAACCAATTTATCTGCAACTAATCAAAATTAATCAAATCAATAACAAAAATATTTCCACCTAATCACTGTTTATTTAACTCTCCGTTAATATAACTAATTGTATTTATTATTTAACACATCAAAGCGTGCGGCGTAAGCTTATAAAAATGATAATTAACAATTACTGTAGCACTGAACGCGACATTTGGTGTTGTTTGTCCAACACGATAATGTCATGAACGCATCTGTCAAATTTTGGCGCGAACGGCCATGTTTTTTTTTCGACTGTTTGATAATTGTATTATTTTTATTGATTTGCTATTTATTTTCGTTGGCGAGATGTGGGGTGCGTCGGATTAGGCATGGTGGTAATGTGACGGTTTGTACCACTTAGCGGTATTAATAAAAATAGTTAAATGGCCCTCATTTCATAGGAGCACTCAAGATCGTCTTTTGGTTTGCCTTTTAGTTATATGTTGTTGGTGATGTTTTTATGTAGGTATTTAAAATTGTTTGTGTTTAGGAATACTGCTTACCTAAAATCGTTTAGCAAGACACATAGAATGCGCTTAACTGTTGGAATAGATAGGTAAGTACTTTAACGGAGATTCAGAGTCAATTTTTAAACTGTCAAACACCAAGCGGTCACCGGTGACCGCGACCTATTGTTCTTTAATTGTGTCTATAAAACCGGTACTCGACGAGTTAATACATAAATAAAACATTTAAAAGGACATCTTAGTAATAATCACAAAATAATTCTCATGTAAGCCAAGTCCTAAACCAGCCCACACAAGGCTCAACCAAAAACAAGCATTTAAACTTTTTTCCACACAAAGGGCAAAAGTCAACACTCATTCAGCCAAGATGAAACGTCCAATAACTTATAAATGCATTAAAATCTACATGTAGGTACAGAAAATAAATATAAAATCGTGCTTAAGTGTCGTTTTGATAAATAAATAGTATAGTTATGTTGGCTGTACGTGACTTTCCTGTGCCCAGCTTCGGTTTGAGTTTTGAAAAATAATGTTTGGTCCCATCCTGTTAAATATGTTTGTGTTGGATTATTAAATATCTAACGATGTTCTTTGTTTGGTTTTTATATTTATAATTGGAAATGTATTTGGTGTAATTTATTGAGAAAGTGGTAATTTTGTCAGAGTATGTTAACCGCGGCTAGTAGTTGGTGGTTCAGCATACTTTGAACTGGTTATATTAATTGACGGTGTGTAGTTATTGTAATCTTATACTCTTACATTTATATAAACCGGAAGAGTTTGTTTTTTTGTTTGTTTGTTTGAACGCGCTAATCTCCATAACTACAAGTCTGATTTGAATAATTCTTTTTGTCTTGGATAGCGCATTTATCGAGGATGCATATAGGCTATAAAACATCACGCTACGACCAATAGGAGCTGAGCAGAGCGTGTGAAACCGAACGGAAGTAGCTAGTAAGAACTATTTTTCACGTTAACGCCTAAACGAATAATGAACTTAGCTGAAAGGCTAAGATTGGAGGTGTAGGTACTAGGCCGTAGACGTATTACTTCTCTTTAAAGAAAACAATTCTAAATTTTCTAGATACTCTATGGATTTTGTTGACGGTAAACACGACACACTGAAGACAATAAGTAAGTATTTTAATATTGAAACCTAACCGTGTCTTACTTTACAATACAAAATCATCCTTTAACGTAGCAATACCCTAAAAATATCGACCGACACCACAGTAAAGAGGTTGTATGTCGTACTACGTATATAAAACAAATCGCATTTGTCGTCCGTCCGACATTCCCCCAGACTACCGAACATCTCAAGTTATTTATAACTAAAGTTGGGACGTTACGTACTGTAAGCTGCTCTACTTTGTTTTTACCGAAATTAGTAAAATTGGTGATTTCGTAATTACGTTAAAACGTCTGTATTTGTTGTTATAGGGAGATATTGGCTGTTGTTGCAGAACAATCTGCAGATATATAATTATATATATCTGAAAGGGTAGGCAGAGGTGCACATTATGTCACTGTACAATGTAACACCCACTTTTCACTATTTATGTTATGCGTTCCATATAATAGGGGGTGAGCCTATTGCCTTATACCGGACACAATTCCAGACTCCGTGCTACTACTGAGATATTTTAAAAACCCAGTAATACTTTGACCGACCCGGGAATCTTCTTCCCTATTATGATCATTCATAGGCCTAAGGATTTGAAAACATTTTAGTAGAAAAAAAAATTACACATTAGGTAGTATGATATCTTCAATCAAGTTTAAATGAATGTGTATTGATTAAGTCAACAAAATCGATATCAAATTCAACAGCAACTTGTTTAACAATCGTGTCTATCAAGTACCAGTGTAATTATTCAGTTAAATATTACACGTGTGGGTGTGTAAAGATGAATAAAGCATTAATACCTACATTTACCCACTTGTACCCACTTGTAAGTTAACGAACCGTGGCTGCATTATGCGATAAAACATTCGTTGATTACGTCATCATTTAAAAGTTCATTTGAATATTTGACTGGCTGTTTGGTCGAGTGGCTGTATGCGCGACTGTCGAGTAGCTATGAAGTTGTGTTTGATCTTCAGTAGCGTATAATCTTTGATTATAGATTGTTTAGATGTAGTCATTTCAGGAGAAGCGTTTAAAAAATTTGCAATCAACTGTTAGGTTTAAGGCTTTGACTGCCAATAGAAAACTGTTGAAGGCAACTGTACAAAGAATTTGTAAAGACAGAACTATATTTATGCACGACTTAAAACGTAAGTATCTAAAATCTAAAATAAAATCAATCAAAAGTCAAACCACTCTAATTCCCAACATATATATGTAAAGCTTAACAAATTATAATTCAAGAACAGCAACAAATAAAATAAATTGTGTACAGCGTAACGTAAGTAGAGCAACTTTCCCGGTGCATCGACCCCCTGACAGATTTATAGCGGGAGCAATGAATATGGTGTTCTAATCTAACAATGGAGGAGGTTACATTTATTTTCTGTAGGAAAAGCTTTGCTTGTACTCTATGGAAATCAAAGATGGCCGCTTTTTGCGTTATTCTGGCGGGAATTGGTCAATTTTTAGGTTGGAAAATGTTTTTTTTAATTGGATTGTTGGTATGATTGTTTACTAAATATTTTAATGATAACGACATACTTTCTCATTTAACCATCTTAATTGCGTTTCCATGACGCTAATTTATAAATGATTATCGAATATTAACTAAAAATCGCGAGTTGAAGTGTTGTCTCTGTTGAGAAAAGCTCTAGTTTCGAACCACAGAAGGACTTTTCCTAATGAGCAGAGCTTTTCTCAGTATATTCACGTGAGTAACCCGCGATTTTTAGTTAATGAAGATATAGGTATCATAATAAAATTATTCTTTTCAGCAGCGCAGCCTTTTCTCAGTATATTCACGTGAGAAACCCGCGATTTTTAGTGAACTTAGTATGTCTCGCGATAGTTATTATAAAAACATTTTCGAATATTTTCAATAAACGAGATCATGAACATTCAAATAACATTACATACATAAGTAGCTTCTTTTAGTTTGTAAGTTAATAACACTAGCAGTTTTATTTATACTGACACTTATTCATAAATAGGTAACTGGGCTCACTAGTCATCATCTTAAACATGATATACAGCTCAAAATACATAAAATACAGACCTCGTCAAAACAATAATACACTAGGTAGATTAGGTAGAACGAATACGCCGCCTGGCACAATTTCTGATACCCAACACAATAGCGTTAAGTCGCTCTACCGAGCGTAAGACAGCAATCAGTGTAATTTGATTCTCACCCCCCGAGCCTCCAGTTACTGCTACGCTATGCTACCGGCTGTATTCTGTATTTCTACGGTGTGTACAATTGGTAACTTGTATTATATACGTTTTGATGTTTTAGATGAAGATTTTGAGCTTTTTTGGGATTGGTACCGACTTACTTCTAGATTAGAATATTATTATCTAAGTAATCGTGAAGTTTTGCAACGAATAATTTGGTTAAGCAACATTCAAAAACGCACTTTTACATTTATATATATTTTGTGGGGAATTTGAGGATTGTTGGGGATTCAGGGATTAGCGAAGGGGTGGGGTGTAACTAGGCCTTCGGTAACCTCACTTACACGAAGAAACACAACGCAAGCGTTGTTTCACGTCAGTTTTTTGCTTGTCGTATCAGTCCGGTCGAGCCGACTGGGCTTCACCCAGTTGTACAGTCTCTTCTTTGTGCCTTTAGGCCTAAATTATTCTGTCTCCTGCAGTAATTCACCGAGGGAAGTGGAAACAATCGTTTTTTTTAAATTCACTTCTTTCAAGTGAATCAAGAGATATTATAAGAGGAGAAGAAGAAAGCGGTCGTTTCCAATATTTAGTACTTAAGGTTAAACTAGTCGCGGGCTCGAACTCAATCAAGGGCGTGGCCAAAAAGCGCTCTGTCTCATCTAACATCGTGTGCGACAGAAATAGTACCAGTGATGAGCAGTTAGACGCTATCTATTTGCACGACGTATTGTTCGCACGCACACAAACACAGCAAAACGTCACTGAACGGTGCATATATCTGTGCTGTGTGTGTTTACTCGTAGTAAAGTCGTACGCGCTGCTACGATTTTATGATGCTCGCATGAATTTTAGTAATTATTGTCACAGGGCATTGTAATTACTGATTTTTTTATTTTTTATGATAAGTTGATAACACAATATCCGAAGAATCTACGAAAGGCTAGGGATATAATTCTGTAGGTAAACAGTTACTTTTTTTTCTAAGTACCAATAACTTTATGTACCTACTAAACCTAATAGGTACCTACAATATTTGTTGTATTTGTTTAGTTTTCGTAAAAGTAGGTAATTACCTAAAAGTATGTTTACTTGCTAAAAATAAAGTAAGAAACGTAATAAAAAGTATAGTTGACAACCCCAATCGAGTTCTCACGGAGCGCGATAGCCACAAAATATAAAGGTACCTAGTTAGTTCTATGGTATAACTACATACAAAGCGCGCTCGAGCACGTAGGTATAAACAGTGAAGCAGGTACATACCTACATGAGATTGACTTCTGTACCTATGTATTTTGTGCGAAAACATTCGGCTTGGCGGTTGCCCGTTGATATTATCAATATTCCTACTTGCGGTAATCTACAACAATTTATTATAAAGAGCCTAAAGAGGTAAAGTTTGATTTATAATAAGCATGATCATTTCTTCTGTCTGGGTGTTTTTATCTAATTATAATAATATGGAAATATTTAGAAATATACCTCTAAGTACCTATGTATATCTGTTGTCTAGTAGGTACCTACACATAACACAAGCTCTGCTTAGTTTGGGACTGGACAGCGTAGGTACAGAGTTGTGTGATATTGTGGAATATTATTATTATATTATTATTACTTAGGTATTATTTAGGAAGGATGGCTAAAAAAGCATAGGTACCGTAGGTACGTAAACGTAGTGTACCTGCTAGTAAAATATCAATTCGGTCCAGCCGAATTGAACTGAATTGAATTGAATTGGGTGGGTAACCTATCAGTACTAATAATAGTTATTTTTTGCTTTTTAGTTTAGACTTTTTGTTTGTTATTAGTTTTTGGTTTTTTGAAGTCGGTTTTTTAAACGCAGTTTTTATTTTATTATTTTATCATTTTCAGTGTAAAGCTACATATACCCGTTTTGTTACTTATAATCTACATAGGTGCAAAGTTCTAATCAATACAAATTATACAAGCCTAAACACAAGGTAGTTACAGTATACCGTTGAGGAATTCCCTTAACAATTACACTTCTTCATCATCAGACCCTTAATGACAGCCCTACTCTATCTAGGTGTAAAGTCCTCATCAATACAAATTAATCAAGCCCAAACACAAGGTAGTTACTGTATACCGTTGAGGAGTTCCCTTAGCAATTACACTTCTTCATCATCAGACCTTTAATGACAGCCCCACTCTATCTAGGTGTAAAGTACTCATCAATACAAATTAATCAAGCGCAAACACAAGGTAGTTAGTATAAACCGCTGAGAAGTTCCCTCGACTGTCTATCGGCTCCATCATCAGGTCGACTCCAGACCCTTATCAAATTGTAGTGTTTAAAAATCCTAATTGAAAAACATAATAGACGCATCACTCGCCCATATAATTTTCGAAAGTTCCCCTCGGTTTCCCTAGGATCCCATCATCAGATCCTGACCTCATGGAAATGGGACCATCTTGGGAGTATACCCTTTCCAACAAAACAAAAATTTTGCAAATCGCTTCACGCATCTCAGAGTTATGCGCGTACATACATACAAAAAAAAAGCAACATACCGGCCGAACGTATAACCTCCTCCTTTTTTGAAGTCGGTTAAAAACAATAGAAAATAGTCTAAGGGTTTGCACGACACGCGCTGTCGTGCAAAAAATTGTGCAAAAACGCGTGAGCGTCTTCCCTCCGCCCCGCGCCGCTGCCGGGGGAATTTTATCAAATGAAATGCACGATAATTCATCGTAAAACGAGTGCGTATAAAAGTACGATTTAGTGCTTTAGAAAATAGCGATTTTTGAAAAAACCACTGCTTAGATCAATTTGAAATAAATTTTATAGAACTCTTT